AGCGGCTCACAGGAGCTCCCTTCCGTCCTCTGTAAGGCCAGGGCTTCCTCCTCCCCAAGTCCCTACCATTTCATTGAGAGACTTAAGGCTTGTGGTTGCGGGTGTTTTACTGCACTGAGCTCCAATACAATTCTTCCACCTTTATGGCTATCACGCTAGGTATCTCCAGGGCCCCATCGCACGACAAATTCAACCAAGGTCAAGGCCTGAGTGAGGTCCATCCTCGGTCTGAGGTGCATTGTCAGCTTTGGCTCCTGGAATCCCCAACCCTCTCTCAAGCCTGAAAGAAAGCCGCCTCAGTTGTCCAGGCTCATGAGTAGGGCAGTGCCCCTTTTGATCCAGTGATCAGATGTCATGGTCCCACAACGGAGGTCGATGCCAATGACAAAGGAGGCTCTGTCTGAGCTGCCTGCCCGGTTGGGATAGTAATAGCAGGGACAGGAGTACATGCCTGAGGGAAAGGAGAAGAGGAGTCAGACCCCTGGAGCCTCTGGGAGAGCAGAGCAGAAGCAAGTATGGGGGAGGGCTAGGGCAGGCAGGTCTGAGGAGGCTGTCTCACCCTTGGCACTCTTCTTTCGGCTCTCTGTAGGCCGGAAATGGATCGTGGGCATGAGACAGACAAGCTGCATGGGCTCTGCCTCCACCAAGCAGGAGTTCTTCCGGTCCCAGCCAGCACCCTCCAGGTACAGGCCTCGAACCCAGACACCATCCTGGGGAGACACGGGGACAGGTTGGGGGGAAGTCTAGATAGACCCTTGGTTGCCAGCACCCCTGACCTGCTACCTCTCTCCTCCCTTCTCAACCAATTGTTTCCCACCTTTGTTCCCAGCACCCTCTTCCACCAGACCCGCATTTGCTTAGAGCCCCAAGCACAGCTGGCTCCCACCTTGGGTGGATACACTAGGTTGCTGTCATCCACAGTGGAAACAATAAACTCCCAAGAGAGGCTGTCCACTGAAATCTGGGGATCGAAAGTGAGAATAAGAGAAGACCCTGAAGAGGAGAGCAAAATACATGTCCCCAGCATCCAATCCCCATTACATTTTCCACATGGCTCACATTGTTTTGGCGAGCTGAAGACTGCAGTACAGCGGTGAGGAAGCCGGTGGGAAAGGTGAAGCCAGACAGCCAGAAGATCACAGGAGGCCGAGCACGGCTAGCCCACAGTTCAAATTGTTCCACACGCATAGCCAAGTCCCGGGTCCATGCAGCCAGTGGCTTTTGTGAGGGATATGCCTAGAGAAAGAAGCAGTGTGTGTTCATTCATTCATTTATTCATGCCTTCAAGTTTTTATTTTTAGAACTCAGAGCAGATGTGAGAAGACTATGTAGTGTCAGTCCCTGCTCCCCAACTTCAATTGGGCAAAGCACTCCAAAAGCCAACTCCCAGGAAAGAAGCATAGAATGACAACTAATTTTTGACAACAATAGTAATAGTAACCAGTTACCATTAATGAACCACCTACTAAGCATTATGCACAGTACTAGGAATCCTTGAAACATCCCTGAAGATATTAGTAACTTGCCCTGAGTAAGCCTCTAAGTTAATAACTTGTGCAAAGTTGGTCAGTGAATGGCAGAGCCAGATTTCAACCTTGAACCTGTCTGGCTCCAAAGCCCAGGCTTACTACATTTTGTTATATGCCTACCTAGAACAAGGAGATTGGGGGCATAAGGGTGAGAGGAGAGCTCATTGTTGGGTAGGATCTACAGTATTGTAATCTTGCCTTTCCCCAGAGTGGAGGGACATGGGCATCAAAGATGCAATTGAAAATCTCTTCCAGGTTTGTAGACATGACGATGAGGCCCTGGATGCCTTTTTCCAGGTCTGTCAGTGAGAACCTGAGCAGAACAGGGTAGAGCATTACAGATGAGATGGGCCTGGAAGAGCCATCCTAGGCAGGGAGTGAAGGCCTTTCCTCTTGTCCCCTCCCCACATGCCACAGAACCCCTTTCCATCTTACAGGATGGTCTCCATAAGCTTGTTGTATCTCTGGATCTCCTGCAGAAGGACCACATTGAGGGGGGAGGGGTCCAGAGCCAGTACTTTTCGGGTCCCCTCATAGTCGATCATTTCAGGGATCTTCTGTTTCACATCAGTGGCCAACTCAAGGACCTGACAAGGCAGGAGCTCTGAGTACAGCCTTTTCTTCCTCATGGCTTTCCCTCCCCTGGGTGCCTGTCTGTTCTTACCTTCTCTTCCCGGCTCTGGCCTCCAGCACTGGTGGGTGTAATCTGAGGTTGCAGAGAAAGCAGAGTCTCAAAGAGTGTTCGCGCCTCAGTAATCTGAGAGGCCACATCTGCATTGGGGTTCTGGCCAAAGGCCTCAGGGGGGTCCATGCTGGGCAACATGCTGATGTACTCCTTGTAAGAGGCCAGGCTCCCATCCTTAGGGATGCAATAGGTCTCCAATACTGACAACCTGGGGAGCCACAAGATACTTATTACCACATTGTGGGGACTCTGGGGCTTCAATGCCAGGCTAAGACCCCAGTCCCTATGTATATTCCATTTATCCACCTTTCTGCTCTTGTTCCCCCTCCCAATCCCAACATACTGCCTTCTCCTAATCTCATTCTCTCCTCAAACACTTCCTTTACCCCCAGTCTTGCCGCCTGGTCTCTTTGTATCCTCTAGCCCCCTGTTCAGTGCCACCTCCCTCTCACCGGTAGAAGGGGGTTGATAGAGACTGGTCACAGAAATAGTCATTGATGTAGGTGGTGAGCAGGCGCCGGTCCCAGTCATCCGTAACATGCCCACCATAGTTGACACCGGCAATGAGGTACTTGAGTGCATCCCAGGGTGTCTCCTCATACTCATCCAGATAGAGACTCAGCAAGTTCTCTGACACCTGTACATGGTCCCAGCCCACACCCCAACCCCATAGTTATGGCAGGAAGTCTTCCAGTGGGGCCTTAACGTGGGTTTTCTGTAAGTGGATATTCCCACAGGGGATCCAAGGAGAGAGGGCTGGGATTAGAGACCCCTGGTTAGCACAAACCTCAAAGTCAGAGTCATTGAAGCCATAGACAATGTTCCAGCCAAGCTGCAGGAACTTTCTGCGTTCAAGTAACACGGAGTGGAAGAAGCAGAGTGCAAACAGCAGCTTCTTATACTTGGCAGGTTTGGAGCAGCGTGAAAACTGTGGTTCCATCATCAGTTGGTAAAGACGTGTCATGTTGGCCTTTAGGCCCTGGGGATAATGAAGTATAGTGGCGAGATGACATGCATCTTGCTTAGTCCTGCCACTAGCACCACCATGTACAGTTGTGGAGATTGCTCACTGCACTGGCTGATGGGGTGAATGGAGGTGAAATCTAGTCTTTAATCTGCATGCCAATATGTGAACTCATTCACAGGGCTAAGTGCCTTTCTCGAATTCAAACATAGGCACTATGTGGGCTAGTGGCAGCCCTACTTTCCTGTCCTCCCACTTTTGATCCTCTCAACAACAATGTTCCCAATGGTGGGTAGGTCAACTCGATTTTGGAGTAACAAAAAACAGGAACGAAGATATATGTACAATTATGAATGAACAAAATCTATACTATTATCTGAAGAGGTTCATTGTAGATTAAAAGAGCCATAGAATATCATCGAGGAGGAGCATTCTTATGTGATTGGATTTATCAGGCTTCATGAACAAGTTGGGATCTGGGCTAAGTCTTACAAGTGGGACAGATATGACTAGGCTGAGGAGAGTGCCTTGGTTTCTAAGAGATGGAAAGAAGTGAAGAAATAAAGACACAAAGGGGAGAATAGTGAGATGATGAGTCTAACAGAAGTCAAGTGCAAGTGCTCAAGTGGACTAAGAAGGGCCATTAACAAATGTGGATGCAATAACAATGGCAGTTTGAGCCATTTGGACTTGATTCACCGGGAATCAGAGAGCCAATTTCTGTCAAGTAGAACAGTGATATGTTGAAACAGTGTTTTAAGAAGGCTCATCTATGATGGACAGAATGTAGTAGTGTGAAAAAGTGAAGAGTATTGGATAAAGAAGTAACAAAAAGAAAGTATAATTTTTAAAATGTCATTTATAACATCATCAAAATATGTAAAGTAGGAATAAATCTAATAAAGTGTACACATCTTATGGAGAAAATTATAAAACTTTATTGAAATAAAGAATAAATGGAAAGACTATGGATTAGAAGGCTCAATATCCTAAAGATGTTGGTTTCCTCCACATTGATCAATAAGATTTTGTGTGTGGAATCTGACAAGCTAATTCCAAAATTTATGTTAGAGAATAGTCTGAAGAAGAATAAAGTAAGGAGATTTGCCTTACCAGCTATGAAGAATTATTATAAAGCTATACAGTAATTAATACAGTCTATAGTGACCTCAATATAAACAAGTTGATCAATGAACAGAATACAGGGTACTGGGAGAATTGGTTATCCATGTGGGAAAAAAATTAGACATCTACCTCATTCCACACTCACACACAAAAAAAATCAATTTGAAGTGACTAAAAACCTATATGTGAAAGTCAGATTATAAAATTGTTTTGAAGACAAGTATAAGAGAGTGCCTTTACAAACTTGAAGCGAGCAAAGATTTCTTGAACAAGGCAGGAGCGCAAACTAGAAAAAAGAAGATAGCTAAATTTAACCTCATAAAAATTAAGAATTTTTACTTGCCGAAAAATACCAAAGGAAAAAAAGACAACCAACAAAACATATAACTGACAAAAGATTAGGATCTGGAATATAAGAACTACACAGCTTGAAGAACAGCATGAATGAATGTCAAGTCATAATGCTGAATGATAAAAGCAAGTTGCAGAGGAATGTATACAGCACGGTTCCATTAGCTATCTAAAGTTTTGTGTTCAAATTGGAAAGAAAAGAAAGTGACACGCACAATATTTAGAACAGTGGCTTCTTCTGAGTGAGGAGGAAAGGTGATGAGATTGGAGAGAAGTGCACCGAGACTTCAAAGAACACGGTAATCTTCTTTCTTTCATAGGATGATGGGCACACAGGCATTTATTGAATCTTGATTCTTTATATCATATATATTTCATAAATATTATTTTGCATCTACTAAATATTTAATTAAAAAAAAAAGGACTAGATGGTACGTAGTGATCCAAGAATATACTCCAGGACTATACCCCAAACTGCCAACTGGGGGCTGTGATTATGGGGACTTTCTTATTTGAAGTAAAACTCAGATGAACCACTGTCCTCTTGACTATTTGGGCTGACTTTGTATATCCTGATGCAAAAACTGGCCTCTTTCACAGGACAACAAAATGGCAATACCTGATCTAGAATGGATCCTGTGCTGGGAGGGGGGTTATTAAGGATATGATTGGGTCATTTAACAAAATTAGAATATATAATAGATTTATATTAAAATATTGTATCAATTTATTGAAGGTGGCAACTCTGCTGCAGTTATATGAGAACATCCTTATTATTAGGGTTGAACTATTTAAACTGAAATACACTAAATTAGCAGTATAGGACCACGATATATGCACCTTACTCTTAAATGGTTCAGTAAAGGTGTGTGTGTGAGGAGAAACAAGAGAGAGATCAAATAATATGGCAAGTGGGGCAAAATGTTAACAATAGATGAATCTGGGTAACATATTGTGGGTGTTCTTTGTACTATTATTCTTACAACTTTTCTGTAAGTTTTAAATGATTTCCAAATAAAATATTTAAAAATATTGGCCTCTTTGTCAGCTTCCAAAAGAAATTCGGTTGTGCCAAGTAAACCCTGAACATTCTACTTCTACTGAAGGTGTGACAGATTGCAGAGAGATTATGCCTAGATTATGCCTTTCACAGAAAGCACTCCTGGGCAAAGCCAGGGTGGACCCTCTCCCCTCAGGACCGCCCCATTGCAGAGCCATTCTCTCTGATTCCTCTCTCTCTCCTCCTAGGTTTCCCTCAGATTCATCATTGCCTCCCGCTTCATTATGCAGACTTAAATAGCACCTACCTCCATGCTTACACACCTCTACCCATCACAGAGTGCTCAACCTAGCTACCAAGGCACACACCTCTCGCAGGAGGTATAAGAATAATAGTAATAGTAGTAGT